AATTTCACCTTTAGTTTTTTTTCCCCCCTTGCAACTCCAAGGACATTCAAAACAAAGGCTCTGAAATAAACAGAGCGGTAATGAAAAACGACAACAAAAGTGTCAGACGTTTGTTTAGAAAACCGACTGTGTTTACAGACTCCGCGACTCTATCATTGGAGGGGTTCCCAGGAATCAATGCTTAATTCTAATCGAAAACTTAGAGGTTCCTTTTGATCTTCTGTTATCGCTGTACTTTTAGAAAGCATAAATACTTAATTATTTCTCAAGCACTTGAATTAAATTCGATCCGAACGTATAAAAAACAAGTCTGGAAGTGTGGTGTGATCCTTCTGTTAAGCAGAATCAAAGTGGCGTAATTAACAAGAGCTCTCGTCTGGGTTTTTTTTTTTTTTTTTGTGGAGCTCTATAAGAGATTTCTATCAGTCCAAATACCCTGTGCTTCCTTTGAAGATAACTTTGATATATGGTATTGATATACGGTGGGCTTTTGTTCTTTTAAAAATGAAGGCGAGATTTTGTCTCGAAGAAAGAATTGCTTCACTCATGGTGGTAAGTCTTTGATTTTGTGTTCATCATTTTTGGGTTCACGTTTTCCCTCCTGATATCATTCCCTTGAAATTGATTTCTTACATGAACATATCATGTCATTCAGTCAAGGTCTTAGTGGATTAGAAAACCTAACCTCTTAACCTCTAATTATGTTTATAATGTGGATTAGTATCCACTTAAAATGGCTTGTTACTCTATTTCATTTTGAATTTGTGCTTATTTTCTCCACTTATGTTTGGTTACCTGTGCCATTCACTTTCATAAAAATATAGTTTTTCTCAATTGCTAACCTACATTTGTTCAATCTATAGTCACATTTTCAAATCTCTAAACACAATTAGCACATAATTAATTAATTAACACTTTGTGACAAAGCCATTAACACAATTAATGCTGTTTTCACACAATATTTAGTTAATTAGCACATTTCTAAAATGTTTAAATTTTCAGTTCACATGAGCTTAGCCCCATATTGGAATGATTTATCTATCTTATCTTTTTGCAAATGCTTAAACACAACTTGACAAGAAACCCTAATGTTTAAAACTCTAAAAATAGGGTAAAGCAACAGTTTTACACTGTTTATACTGTTTCTAACTGCAACAGCATCTGATCAAAATTATTTAAATTACTCATAATTTTGAATTTTGATTTTTTTTTTTTTTTTTTTTTTTTTGGCGGAGTGTGGGCTTTTTTTTTCCTCCATCACTTTTTTTTCTTATTTCTGCCTTAATGTGGTAAGTCTACGATCATGCAGCACATGATCAGTATTGGAGGACAAATGTTCCTTCTGCATGCAGTGGAGGCTCAGAGACCATCAGCTGGAGACTGCAGTAGTAGATCAGGCATGCTAGCATTTTTATCAAAGACAATACAATGTGTAATGGAGATAAAAACAGATGGCAGTTCCTGAAGATCATATTGCTTGAGGAAAAAACTGAAGCAGTAAAGGTTGTTCTGTGGCTGTAATCATAGGGGAAGCACTTTACCGTAAGTGCTACATAGCTCCTATGTACCACCTATATCTGTGCTATTATCTTTTTCTATATAGCACCTTAGGGCTAATTATACTGTACTTCTGCGTCCATTTCATGTGGATGATCCGGCTTTTGCTACTCTTCGTCCTGGCTGATGCAGATTCTGATGCGCACCTCACTAAAATGTAACTACATTGTAGCTCTTTGATTGGTCGTCTTGGTAGTGTTGAAGAGTGTGGGAGTAGCACTTACAGTAAATTGGTTGATTATGAGCTAAAACAGCTAAGATTTGGAGCTAAAAATATAAAAGATTTAGATACTAAATACTCATTTAAATTTTTGATTATTTTTATTTCTAAATATGACAAGCAACGCAGTTTTTGTAATTTAATTGTCAGATTTTGTTTATTTAAATTTTAATATTTTATAGGGGGTACCATTTGATTTCTTCAGTATTTTTGTTAATATGCGTGCCAGTGGCTGCTTTTCTCCAACATTATAATAATATAATTTTGTTCAACAGAAGAAAGAAATTCCTAAAAGTTAAGTTGAATAAATACTTGTAGATATTTAGATATTTATGCAATATTTAAGCTCCAAGGCATCCAGTCTAAAGATCTTAGTATGTTGGAATAAATAATGCTTTGTAACCTCCTAACAGTGTAATAGTCTGAGTTTATATATAGATTAGTATCCACTTGTACCAAATGAAAAGCCTGATGAAGAGGGTAAGACTGTCCTCTGGAGTGTCTCTAGAGGGTCTTTTCTCCTCTCGGAACCTTTGCCTTGCTGTCTTTTTCAAGAAGCACTCATAATCAAGTTTAATTTGATCCCATACTTTATGCGAATGATTGATCTGTTCATCTGCACAGACATTTTATGGATGTAGTCAGTAGAGTGTAGTCAGTTAAATGAATTTTTAATTCTGAATGAGTCACTGTCAGAAGAAAACGTGATTGAAATGTTTATTGCATTAAATACTATAAACTACTGTTTAATAAATATCGTTTGTAGTTTGGTCTTCGAGTGCCCACTGGCCTTTCGGAGGACATTTATTTCCGATCACAGAACTGTGCTACCCTGACAAGATGTGCATGACAGTCACAACTTTTGATTAATCTAAACTGCCGTTTAGAGGATTTAAGATGTTACTAACATGCACTTAAAACACCAAGTAAACAATTTAAGAAGGCATTTAAGTATTCCATACGGTGTCTTTCATCCAGGAAATCTTTGAAAATGCTTATATTTCAATCTAGGGTTTTTAAGATTTGAAAAGTGCTCAGATATTTAATAAAGTGCTGAAAATGTAATGCTGCTTTCATAATAGTTGCTTTGACAAAGTCTGTAAAGTTTAAATAAAATAAGATAAATTACATATGCAGTGGCACAGTAGGTAGTGCTGTCGCCTCACAGCAAGAAGGTCACTGGTTCGAGCCTCGGCTGGGTCAGTTGGCGTTTCTGTGTGGAGTTTGCATGTTCTCCCTGTGTTCGCGTGAGTCTCCTCCGGGTGCTCCGCTTTCCCCCACAGTCTAAGTCCAAAGACATGCGGTACAGGTGAATTGGGTGAGCTAAATTGGCTGTCCTGTATGAGTGTGAATGAGTGTGTATGGATGTTTCCCGGAGATAGGTTGCAGCTAGAAGGGCATCTGCTGCGCAATAATATGCTGGATAAGTTGGTGGTTCATTCCACTGTGGCGACCCCCTATTAATAAAGGGACTAAGCTGAAAAGAAAATGAAGGAAGGCATGAATGAATGAAGTAACATATATTTGCTTTTACATAAAATGAAAACCAAATGCAATGAGATTACCACTTCATGAGTGAACATGGATGAAATTGAAATTAGTATAAATTTAAGATGAAATATGACAAATTTAAGATGAATAATTTAAGAGAGTAAATGACATTAATTCATTATTGGGCTTGGAGCAAACATAGCATAAAAATGTTTTGCTTAGAATACTATACTGTACTCTAGGGCAGTGGTGCCCAACATTCATTTGTGATCGCCATCAGTTGATCTTCTTCTTACACAGACATGGTGGATTTACCTGATTTATTGACAAACGGGTTGCAGATCCATTCCTTGATAGTTCATGGGTCCTTCACTGGGCCTTTTCCCCTTTGCAAAGGAACTTTTTAAAGACGTCTGGTTCTTACTCATTTTGCTAGCTTGTGGGTTAAATTTGGAAGCTTGAGTAAACGAAAGAATAGTCATTTTTTACAATAAACCATTTTTTCAAAATATAAAATCGTTCAGACTCAGATAATAAATAAAACAAAATTAACCAATGATTTCCTGTGCAACTCTGTTCCAATTGAACCACGGACCGGAACCGGTCCGCAGCCTAATGGTTGGGGACCACTGCTCTAGAATACTATAAAAACTTATTGTAGTTAAGTTAAAATGCTGGAAAAGAAAATGCACCTGGAAAGTTCCAAAACTGACACATTTTAAAAACTAAGCCTTTTTTTGATTTTACAAGTAACAAGGCAAACATAATGTTTATTCAAGTTCTCCATGAAGACAAGAAAAAAAACATTATTTTAGAATCCCTGCAAATGAACACTTGATCCACCTCTGTTTTCCCACTTGTGTGCGAATTAGATGCAGCTAGAGAAAATGTACTCCACAAAGAAGTGCTGAATAAACGTTTTTTAGATTTTAGTATCAGTATGTTAGTATTCAAGGATATCTATAAGGTAGTTTGGTACAAAACAATGGCAAAACCCATGTTTAGAAGATATAAAACTGATATAAGCATGTAAAGCTTGTAGTTTATCACTTCCACCTAAATGGAGCATTGTTTTCTTTTACCTCACCTTATACTTCCGTTTCTCATCAAATGCTCTCTAGTATCTGACATGCCCTGCCCTTCTTTTTTTGATTTTCATTTGATGTAATTGAGCTCTTACTGACAGAGGTGTGATCAAACAAAACGCCGTTCGCTGCTTTTTTTTAAAAAGACCTTCTCTTCTTTTTTCAATTGAGATTTACATCAAACATCAAATTAAAAAAATCAAAACACTTTGTGACCTTTAAACTCTCTACAACATGTATAAAAATATCAGTAGCCTACATCACTTACAGTGTTATAATGTAATTTTCACCAACAAAGGCAGATTGTAAGGATAAGATGGTCACCTTACCATTTTGTAGTAGAGGAAAAACCCTCCTTACTGTATACCTACGTTTAAAAAAATTTAGTCCAGTGAAGACACGTTTCTAATAATAATAAAAAAAAGTTTAAGCTAAAAATGAAGTTATTTGCATTTAAATTCCAGTTTGATTCCCCATCAGACGAGAATGTGATTTGATATCGATATTGCATTAAATGCTTATAAATTGCATTGTGCACACACTCATTTGCCAGTATATGCAGAAAATCTATTTTTCTTTTGAATTACTAGTGTCAAACCCCCAAAAATCTTGCTCACAGAGTGTTTGTTTTGTTCTAATTGTTCCAGGGAGCAGCGGCCAATGTCTCTCTGTCTGTCCCGTGATGATGAAGCTGTGCCCGGGTTGGAAGCGCTGCCGTTCAGGCTGATGCAGCAGGACTGCACAGCGGTAAAGACTCTTCTGCTGCGGTTACGTCGGACGCTGCAGGAGGTAATGTTCCACCCTGACAGCTGATTCATGAAGCTGCTATGGCCTTCATCACGGGTGCATTAGAACAGGTAGAAGAGCTCTTCATGCCCTGCCAGTTTCGTGCCTCATCATTCAGAGAGAGCACCAGGAAGGAGATCACACTTTCAAGAGACACATGCAGTCTGTATGTAGACCTTGGTTAGAGTCGACAGCGTACTTAATGCAACACGAAAACATGAAAACGAGGATGTGAGAGGTAGAAAAGCATGCTGTTGATCTGTTCAGTCTGTAAAAGCTTACATAGAGATTGTAGTTCTGTGCAAGTTTAATAAATTCTAGAAACCCAAACAACTAGCACCAATGAAAACCAACTGTGTTTCAGGTACACAAGTTCTAAAGAAAATTAAAAATTAATAAATAAATGATCTTAAATAATACAAATACATTTTTTTAACAATTATATAAGAATGTCAGTGAAATGGAGGCGACTTGAATGGTTTATGAACACAATTAAGCGCACAGCATGTCATATTATCTGATTATTGTAGGAAATAATTCCAAAAGGTAATTGACTGCAAAGCCACATAAAACAAAAGCAAAAACTGCAAAAATGCTTTTCTATACTTAGATTTTTTGTCTTGTTTCTAGTCCAAATATCTGAAAATTCCTAAATCAAGAAGAATTTTCTAGATAAGCAAAACATTGTCTTGTTATAAGAAATAATATGCCAATATTAAGTGAGTTTTTCAAGCAAAATAATCTTGCGTCAAAAGAAAAAACAAGATTAATTTACTTACCCCATTGGCAGATTATTTTGCTTGTTTTAAGGAAAAACTCACTTAATATTGGCATTTTATTTCTCAAAACAAGACAATATGTTATAGTATTCTTGATATAAGAACATTTAGATATTTAGACTAGAAACAAGACAAAAAATCTAAGCAAGAAAAGCATGTCGAGATCAGTGCCTAGAATCAGCTGACGTGATGCAAAGCAGGAAGACCTAGCTGTCCACAGTTGTTACAAAGGTTAATATTAGCTATTTACACCAAATCTTTTTTTGTAATAGGCTGTAAACACATTTTTTTGTTGTTGTAAAGTTGACCAATTTACCGTTAGAGTTAATAGAAATTTGCTCTATTTTGGAGCCAGTACTAGAGTAGTTTCGATAAATTGCAGTTTCAGTTACTGTACTGTACTGTATTGGTTTCACAAAGATGAGCGGGAAGTTGCCGCTTGATACTGCTTTAAGAAAAGCATCTTATTTTTTTAAAGTGTTTACAAAACAAATGTTATTGCATTTTCATTAGTATACCAGCATTTTTAAATAAAAGTCCTCAATTTACTTTTGAATTCATTTGATTACATTTTGTGTATAAGAATTCAGGAAAATCATGCGATTTTTATTCATGTTTAATTGTTTTTAGCATTTGATAATGTTAGTCTTGACATTAACTAATACATTAATAAAGGCATAGTCCACAGAAAAAGAAAACCTGATGTCAATTTACTCACCCTTTACTCAAAAGGTAGGCAACTTTTATATATATATATATATATATATATATATATATATATATATATATATATATATATATATATATATATATATATATATATATATATATTATCTATAATAGAACGTCTAAACTTTAAAGGTTTTTATTTTTTATTTATTTTGCTGAAATTTTTTTGTTCTTCTAAATATATACTGTAGCATACAAATAGTTACTGGTTCTTAAAGAGCCAAACATACACTGTCAAAACTATCTCAATGAAACACTGAGCTGTGACATGACAAGATTGCTTTTTGAGTTGTCTATGAATATTGAAAAAATCTGCTCAACTTTCTATTATTGAACACAACAGAAGATGTATAATATATATATATATATATATATATATATATATATAGATATATAGATATATAAATATATATATATATATATATATATATAGAGAGAGAGAGAGAGAGACTTTGACACACACTTTATTAAAACATCTAAAACCAAAAATTACATTTCACCTCACACAAAGTCACACTGAAGAATGTTCAGGAGACAAAATAGGTGGAAAAACAAAAATCTAAATATATACATAAATAAAATAAAAAATATATATAATAATAAGCTATACACAAAAATAAATAATTACACAAAAAATTAATCATTTATCACCAATTAAATATTATTTTCCCATCCTCACAAATTGACACTAAGGCCCCATTAACACACCATTTGAACTCAAACTCAAGCAAGTTATTTGTCATTTGAAAGAATCGATGTTCTGTTCTTATTCTGGATTCCACCAAAGCTAAGAAAAGTTGAAGAAGATTTACATTTCGCCCCTCAGCAGCTAGTCTACATGATTTCCAGATGGCTAATTTAGCTTGTCCAATTGTGAAATTTGCTACCGTACACTTTTGTCTGTGCACTCTTGAGTATTTGCACCCAAAAACAAAGAGTGTTTTGGTAAAAACAAAACCTAAGTTCAGTAGTATGACTTTTAATAAAGTGAATAATGGATCCAATCTGAAGCACTCAGTAAAAGCATGAACAACAGATTCCGGCAAGGAACAGAAGTTGCATGACGGGGAAACGTTTGGGTTGAATTTAGAAGTGTGAGAATTAGTGGGCAATGCACAATGTAATAATCTCCACTGCAAATCTCCAGATCGTTTAGGCAGAGGACCTTTATAAAAAAGCCTCCAAGAGGGAGGAAGTTCAGCAGGGATGGTTAAAAATCTTCTCCACTTTGTATCAGCTCTGTCTTTGATCTGCTCAAAATAAGCTATTTTAACACAAATCTGATAGAGATCTCTCTTTCCTGCCACCTGAAAGTCAATTTCTTGTAAGTTATTAAATTTCAGAAGTTTTTCTTTCCAATCATCGTCAACACAGCACTTGGGAGACACAAATAACTTAGGAAAAGGTACTTTAGAAGGACCTCCAGACAAGAAACAGTTGACAAACAGAAGAAGTGTAGAGGGAAAAGCGGCTTTCACCCCACCAATGAGCTGCTTTACCATTCTAACAGATCTGAAGCCGGCCTGACTGCAAATGTCAACCTCTGACTTCCAAGTTTTAGTTGAAGTATTTATCAAGTCAGAAACTTTGATCAATTTCTTCTCCATAAAAGTTTTAACAATTGTATTGTATGTGCTAACATTTACTTCTAAAAGTGAGTTATTAAAAAGTGGTTCTTCAAGACCAAAATGATTGTTTTCATGTCTAATCAGTTTAAACCCTTTCCAAATGTTTAGCACAGAAGCATAAAATTTTAAATCAGTTGAAAAATGTCCATCATAAGAAGACAACAGAAACAGATGTCTATCAAGGCCAAAACCACCAAAAGACCTGAGCAGAGCCCGACCAAAAGACACCCAAGGTCTAGCATCTACAGAGTAGAGTAGGTTTTGGACTGCATTTAGCCTCATAGCTTTAACCTTAGCTACCAAATCAATTACTCCTTGGCCCCCCTCATTAACTGGCAAGTAAAGGATTGCAGGGGGAAGCCAATGGTATCCATCCCAAAAAAAATCTACAAAAATCTTCTGTAGTCGCTGCAGCAAGTCTTTTGGTGGTTCAAGTACATTTAAGCGGTGCCACAACATAGAAGCTGCCAAGTTGTTAATTATAAGCACTCTTCCTCTATAAGATAATTGTGGGAGAATCCATTTCCACCTTTGCAAACGTCCAACAACTTTTTCAAAAATACCATCCCAGTTCCTCTGAATATAATGATCAGTCCCAAGAAAAACACCTAGCACTTTAAACCCTTCCCGACTCCACAAACAGTTCTGGGGGAGTACTGGATGGTCTCTATCGTCCCATTCTCCTATCAAATAGGAAGCACACTTTTCCCAATTAATTCGAGAGGAGGAGGCTTTTTGATAAACCTCCAGAGTAGCACTCAGGTCCTTGACATCCTGAGTTGATCTGATGATAACAGTCACATCATCTGCATAAGCAGCGAGTTTGGTTGTTGCTAGTTCCAAGGGGGATGAGCAAACTGTTGATATGCCACTCAACTTACTTCTTAGTGCAATCAGTAAAGGTTCAATTGAAATGGCATACAGAATTCCTGAGAGGCCACACCCCTGTCGTATGCCTCTACTCACTCTGAAGGGTCTTGTTAAAGTGCCATTAATTTTTAGCATACTGTGTATGTCCGTGTACAAGAGTCTTATATGGGCAATAATAGATGGCCCGAAACCAAATGCCTTAAGGCACTTAAACAGAAATTCATGATCTACCCGATCAAATGCTTTCTCTTGGTCCAAAGAAAGAAAACCAACATCGAGATTGTGTAATTTAGCAAAAGAAATTAAGTCCCGAATTAAAAAAATGTTATCAAAAATAGACCTTCTTGGAATGCAGTATGATTGATCTGCATGGATTATTGAGGAAATGTAAAGTTTAATCCTGTTCGTAAGACACTTTGAAAGTATCTTGTAATCAACTCCTAGTAGGGAGACTGGACGCCAGCATCTGATGTCTTCAAGATCACCTTTTTTTGGTAAAAGAGTGACTACAGCTCTGCGAAGGCTCATAGGAAGTGTGCCCCTTTTTAAGCTCTCTATAAAAACAGCAAACAAATCTTCTCCGATAATCGGCCAAAACTGTTTGTAAAATTCTGTATTAAGTCCATCTAGTCCTGGAGTTTTGCCAGAAGACATCTCCTGAACAGCTGTAGAGAGTTCATCAAAAGTCAATAATTTATCCATCATGGATTTCTCTTGATCTGAAAAATGTGGTAAATCCTGAAGGAGAACATCAGCCATTTCTTCATTGCATGGTTCAGCACTGTACAATTCCTCATAAAAGGACAAAGCGTGTGAAATGATTCCATGAGCATCAATAATCCTTTTTCCATCTGGACGTTTTAAACAGCTTAAAATCTTCTTATCTACAACCTTCTTCTCCATGCCGAAAAAAAAAGATGTAGGGGCATCCATATTATTAAAAGTCGTAAATCTTGCACGGACAAGTTTTTCTTGAGCTTTTTCTTTCAATAAATTC